AATACATTTAATATAACTTTTGTATACTTGAAGGAATATGTACAATATATTTTGTATATAATTTTGCTGAAAATTCCATTAGAATTACTTATTTATTTGTATTATTATTAATATAGTTAATTCTCTCCTTTCTCGACTTGTCGTTTTCAGGCGTCATCTTTAGACATTTTGTGCTTGTCGACGACAATATTGTTATTTGATATAATATTACTTACAATATTTATTATGAGTTTTAATATAATTATAAGAATCCTCATAGAAAAAGGATCCAAGTATTTAAGAAAAAAAATTTATTACTTGTATGTTTATCCAACGTGTAATGAAGAAATAACTTTAACATCAATATTTGGATTTTAAACTAAATGTTTCCTTGTAAGCATGATTTTTGAATTGAAACAATAATTCATTAATCGAGTGTTGGATAAGCATAACAGATTAAAAAGCCCTTTAATCATTCACTCGGGTTTCCGATATTTACAATTTTTGCCTGCTTGATTGTGAATTCGATCACAGACTGTGACATTATTAAAATAATATAAGAAATGTGCTGTTTCATTTGGAAAGCTCTTTCTGCACATTCTTTGCACTGTACATCGCAACGGTACTCCACACCTTTACGTATTTATCCAAGTGTACAATTATCGCTGCCTTGCACAACCATTTGCACAATCTATCAAATCGTCCGGATTCGTCTACGAGTGGTTATTAAGACATACCTCACTCACGATACGTCCAATTTTTTATTTATTTGCTTATGCATTTTTTCGCTCACATCACTCACTTGACCAGTTTTTAATTATATTTTGACACCTCTAAATGTTATGAAATTCTAATGCAGTAATTTTTCTTGCATATCATTGTTACCTCTCAGCTATTTACACAATAATGATCTCTCAAATACAAAATTTGTCATGAAAATTAAATCGGGATCAATACAAAAATCGGTGTTTTTCTTGTAAAATTAAGTATTATTGGATATATTTAGTTTATTCCTTAAAGTTATTTCATGTAATGAAAATGTTTTAAAATTAATACTTGTGATGTATACTTTTATTTATTTATTAAAATGCATTCAGTAAAAAGATCACACAAAAAGTTAATAAAAACATAATTTCAATCATTTGCAAGCAAAAAACATAAACAAATAGATAGGTTTGTTATTTTAACCCATTCTTGCAAATACGTATATATTATCTGGTAGACACAAGACGGCTGTACAAACAAGCCATCTGTCTCCAAACGTTACAAAACAACAATTCTTTAGACTTTATTTTCATCTTAAATACAAATTTGGTATTTTTTTTTATGAATAAAGATAATAATATATTAACAATGCGGGAAGGTGACAGATTCGTATGATACAGATGTATGATTTAAAACGAGCAAATAACACTATTTAAACATCATTAAACGGTTTTGGAAAAATATAAGTTATGTATAAATAGGTTGAATAGCCCCCGCTCCCCCCAAAAAACGCGCAGTTTATTCGTTTTCGAATCTTTCATTAGTGTGTTGAATAGTTGTTAAAATGTACCTAGAGGTACGATGCCATTTGAAATTTAAAATATTTATAAATTGGTTTCCTTATTTTACCAGTGTTTCAATGGCTGAAAACTTTCATAATTAATTTTAAGTAGTTTTTAACGTGTACCTTCTAAATACAGTTCACTGTTTAGAACAAGTCTTATTTGATAGTTAAAATTTGTGTACCCTAAAAGATACTTTAGTCTATAATAAAAGCAGTTTTTTTTATTCTCTATAAAAATTCTAATTGTTTTGTTTCAAGCAAACTACCAATGAGAATTGAGATGATAATCATTTGTATGTAAAGTTTTTTTTTTTTTTTTTTTGTCAAAACTGAAACGAGAAATGAGGGATGAGGAAAAAAAAAAGAAAAAAAAGTAGGTCCTTGATAAGCAAAGCGAGGCCGCGTGCAAAACTCGACGTTTGGCCTTCAATTGCGCCGTACATTCCCTTCGTTGTCTCCTCGGAAATACATAAAAGTCAATCACCGTCCTCGCTCCGACTGACAGTTTCCCATTACATTTGTGCCCGAGCAACCGTCGGCCAAAAAGAGAGACAATCACCTTGTAGCAGATGAGCGCCATGCGTCCATCGTGCGACCAGGAGAAGTGGGTTACGGGCGTGTTTCGATCGTTTATGAGCTCGATGCTCCAG